TTAGCAACAAGTTTTACTTCTCTACTTATCTTTTGGTACACCCATGTATTTTAGAAGGGGTTGGATAGACCAAAATTTTTTTACTGGATCTAAGCTTTTATTATGCTCTTTACTACATGGCAACCTGCTTCGCCAATACATCCTGCTAACGCAGTGGTTCTTGGCCCCCTTGGTCGCTGGCAGCCATACCAAGGGGCTAATCTGCTAAAGGCAGCATCCCTCCCTGCGCCCTGGCACCCTGTGCCTGTGAGCATTGCCAGAAGTCTATGGTGCCTGCTACCTTACATAGGAGCAAGATGATCGTTGCTATTGAACGATCACATGGATGTTCAAGTGATCATCTGCAATGAAGGTGGCCCTCGGTATGGGCCAGGTAACTTCACCGCTGTGGTTCAGCAGGCACGTAGCGCTGCGAGCAGGCATGAGCAGCACTCGGCTCCTGTCCCTGTGGTTCAGCAGGCACGTAGCGCTGCGAGGAGAGCAGCACTCGGCTCCTGTCCTGTCCCTCCGGCACACACCTGTGTGCTTGCGCTCTATGGGTTAAACCCTGAAACTACTGACTTTCTAAATTGAGAGCGAGAGTTTTATGATCTTGTTCACCACTCTTGAAATAGACTTTCTAAAGTGTCGATGGCAGTGTGCACTGCAGGGAAAACTGAACCAGAAACTCCTACACCGGCCTGCGTCTTCATGTAGATGCTTGGGTTGTCATTTGCATGGCTGAGGTCGGCGGGAGTCATGTGAGCAGCTGCACAGGCACACCCCGAAAACATCCGGTGCCTCTTGCTCCCAGGGGTACTTCCCTGCTGAAAGGGTGGGTTTGCTCCCGAAGACAAGGAGGGACAGGGAAACGGTGCTGGGGTTCCCCCCCATGGCTTCTCTGCTCTCCACACTGCTCAGCTGGAAAGTTCAAGAGAAAAGAAGATGAGTTTTCATACACCCACCTGTGCAGACTCATCCCGGGAGTCAGGCAGAGTTCACTTTCTCCCACGCACCGCCGCTGCAGTGCAGCCTCAGCCCTGGAGCCCCTTCACCCCTGGCCCCCCCATGCTGCTGGATGGAGAACCCGCCATAAACCCGCTTTAATCGCTCTGACCGGCACCTGCCACAAGGAGGGTGATGGGTGGTCTCCCTGGGGCATGTCCCAGGGGCACACCGGCACAGGGTTTGTTTCCACAGATGCACTGAAGTGTGGCTGTTCTCAGCCCACACACGGCCAGGCCCTCACTTGCCCCTGGCTGGGGCAGTGCGGCCAGGGCCCCATGGACTCTGCTGCAGTGGGTCTCCCCTCCCTGCCCGGCCCGTGACATCGCCGGGAGGGAAAGGCCCATGGCTTCTGCTGCCTTGCTGGCAACCAGGTTAGTGCCATGTGGTGCTTCTCCTCCTCGCTCTGCCTCTCCTGCTCTTCAACCCCCAACACACTTTTTTTTGCAACACCATTACCACCACTAAATTATGGGGTTGCCAAGGATTTGTCACACGGCATGGCAGTAGATGGAGCCTTGTCGAGGGCAGGGCGGTTGCTGTGGGTCAGAGCAAGAGGCTCGGTGCCCCTTCCCTGGCACTGCCCGTCCAGCAGCAGGAGTGGGGAGCGCTCAGCTGGCAAGGTCCTTCATGAGGTCCCTTGAGCTGAAGCCCCTGTATCATCAGTGATGAACTGTCCCCTCTGCGTGTGCAGACAGCATCTCAGCCTCTTGCTGCGGGGTACTTCGCAAGGAGCTCGCCGCTGGACAGGAGCCATCCCGGTGTGCCAGCACGGCAGACAGGGTTAAAAACCAGAGGAGTGGCTGCCTGTGCATGGAGTGGGTGGAAAGCACAGGAGTAACTCATTCAGTATACCAAAAGGTGCGTGCTCAATTTAGTGTCATCATCCGACTAGGGCCAATCTGTTTTATAGGATAAAATATACAAGAAGCTTACGGAAAAAAATAATAAAAAGAAGAGGTTGCCAGAAGGATGAGAGCAGTGGGCTGGATCAGCTCGGCCCAGGCAGGAGCCCTGGAAGGGGGCCAGGGAGGCAGGAAAGATCCATAAGGAGTTTCCTGCAAAGAAACCATTCAAGAAATTGGGCAGAGGCAGTATGCATGTGACGCCTGTGCGGCTCTGCTTGGGTGGAGGGGGGAGCCATCGTCTGGGAAAGCAGCCCAGCCTGGAGATTTGAAGGGGGCAAGGAGGAAAGAAGGTGCAGTTTGGATCAACCTGACCCAAAATAATATGCGGTTTGTATTTTCTAAGCAGAAAATAAAAAAAAAAAAACCAAAAAAGTAAGTAGAGCAAAAGATTTCATGTCGGAGGAAATGTCATTTTTCCTGTAAAAAAACCAAAACAAACCATACCAGAAAACCCCCAAACCTTGCAGTTAAAAAATTCCTGCCAAGCACTGAAATATTTTCTGGTGAGGCCCAGAGGTCTCTGCTCTCCCCCAGTACCATGAAACTGGTATCACTGGAATGTCTCCTGACTGGATGGAAATAACACTGCATTGAATTTTGGGACTTCCCACCATGGGTATTCTTGGAGATTTCGCACCCCAGAATCGAGTTTCTAAATGTCACCAGTGCAGGGCCTAAAAACACATCTGAAAATGCAGAGTCTGTTCTCCTGGGACCTCCTGGCGTGGCAGACAAACAACCTCTCAGCCGGCGAGTCCCCGTGCCCCCGTCCCGACCAGTCTGAGGGCAAGGGATAGTCCTGGAGCTGGCAGAAACCGCCATGGGGAAGCCAAGAGAGTGATGCCGGAGGCAAACCCATGCTCAATTCAGGCACCAAGGGCTTGCTTACAAACACCTTCAGCATCACGGGCACGTGGTGGCCCCAGCAGCAGGTATAGGGCACCCCCCAGACAAGCAGGGGGAGTGATGGCCAAGGGAGATGCCTAAAACAGCTGTGTACGGTGCATGACTGCCCTGCTGGGCGGCTGCTCCCACTGGAGCAGCTATGGACCAGTGAAGTCAAGTCAGCGAACTGGCCATCGGGCCGAGCGTAAGCCCTGGGCTAGGACAGTTCTGCCACTGATACCCACTGTCAGTGTTTGCTCTATGTTATTTTCGACCCAGAAGCCCTCCATCGGCAGTGCTGGAAACAGGCTGGCTACAGGAGCTGCGGGTGCAAAACTAATTCAGAAGAGGTGCTGGAAACTGATGCTGACAGCATTTTTGGAAACTCTTTCCCCGAGCTGAAAAAAAAGGGATTTCCTAAAATGACTGAAAATGAATTTGCCACATCTGCAAAGAGTGGCTTGTGGGTTGCCTGTCCCTGAAAGTAGCTAAGGAAGCGCTACAGTCAGCAACTTTTCAGTTTAAATGACAAAAGCTAATGTGCCCACGAGTGACAGCAAATACCAGGTATACTACCAGTCGCCTTACATCCTGAAAACACAACCATTTGAATTGTTAAAGCTCCATGAGTTTGCACAGTCCAAAAGTACAGTCTCTTTGGCCAAAAATAAGCTGGTTTTGGAATCAAGAACGGCTTGTAATTAAAGCCAACAGTATGAGAATCTGTAACTGATCTGGTCTGAACAAATTATTTGGCTACCTGAAAAGAAGAGAATCAAAACCTTTTTAATTTTTGGAAAGAGGCTCAAAGAAGAAACACATTAACTTGTTGAGAAAGAGGAAAAAATATGGGCAAATTAAAACAGGCAAACACTTGACCTCTGTATTGGGCAAGCGGGTGCAAAGGTGGAGAAGATGGGACTCGCTTTAGTTTGATGAACAATCCAATCACTGCTTATGACATAAAATTAGACCATTTGTTTAAAAAAAAGCTACGGAAACCAAGAAGATCTTATGCCATTGACCTTAACACTCCTCTGTAATACACTTGATGAGAGGGATTTTGTTTTATTTTTACTGAGACAAATTCAATAGATTTACAGTGATAAATGCAGTAAAATTACACACATGGTGAAGGAAAGCTTAGCTTCAAGGCAGTACAGCTCTGTCCAAGAAATTTAACTTCTTGAAATTTGCCATTTTCAGCTGGAAAGGAAAAATCTCAAAGGCATGACTCCAGCAAGGCTATTTAGTCAAACAGTACCAGATGGATGTGTGGGATTCACCTTCTGCTTTGGTTATGAATGAAAGGAGTCAGCTAGGAGTTTGCTAAAGGCTGTTTTTGCCTAAAGAAGTCTGGTCAAGATGTGGTTAACGTAGCTGTGCTCGGGTCTGCTGTGCTTTGCGGAGGGGATGTGTGGAAATGAGAGGGAAAGGAAGCTTGGAGGAAGCCAGGTAGCACAATGACTGAAGTATGTTGCTTCGATGAATTCAGTTTGTGACCAGACATTTTGCTTTGGTCCAAAACGATGCCACAGTCTCCGGGAGACATAGGGAATTTGTGACTGAGTTTTCAGTATTGTCCTTTTTCCAGGAACCTCACCAACAGTACAGCTCACGCTGTCCACATGAGGAGTAAATATCACTATTTCCACCCTCCAGACAGGGAAGCAGAAAAAGAGCATTTTGACTGGCCTCTAAAGAGCTGGGCCGTATCTGGGTTTTAATGGGCTTGGAGCATCTGCCTCTCCTTAAATTGCGAGGGATTCGGTAGCGGGCCATCCCCTTCAGCCAGTCTGTGGGCAGCCCTCCCCTCGCAGGGCTATGAAAGCCTCCAGCCTAACAAAAATGTCTCTTGTATCTGGCGCACTGAAGACCACAGATCCAAAGCCTACCCTTAGCAACCCACGCATTTCAGAAATAGTTCCAGGGAGAGCAAAAGAAACTGTTGTCCAAGCAGTTGTACAGATGCAAGTACTTTGCTGCATGATTAATAAGGCAGTTTGTTTCACCACTTAAAATTCATCCAGAGGGCTCTTTTTAATAGTCAGAATCATCCCTGGCAAAAGTCTTTTTGAACATACCTGTAAGGACTACGCTCCAAGTTCAGAGCGTTGTGGCTTTTTGGTTTTGCTTTGTTTTCAAAAAGGGTTGATGAAAACCATTTTCATAAACTGACGGCAACAACCATAACACACGTACAAAAACAAGATGGCAGTCTCATACGGGAAATATTTCTGCTTTCATTTTTATTTTATGAATACATATACAAGAGATGCATAATCTTCCATTATCCAGGCTTAAAAGTAACAGATTGTTGTTGGTTTTTTTCCAAAATAGCTTAAAGAGGAAAATAAAAATAAGGATGAAGGAGGTGCAACATATTCAAACCATACAGTTGAAAACCTTGCTAAAATTACTGCTGAAATGTGAACATGTGGAGGGTGTGTCTGTGTGTGTATATCGTCCTGTATCATAAAAGCCTCACCCAAGGTATTTATGTATATGAATAAAAAAATGCTTTGGCATAACCAGAGATTCCTCCACGCACACTTTGTTGACATTTCTGAAATACTGAGAGAGTAAAATCTGAGAATTTTATCATATATCATTTTCTCTCCTTGGCAGCAACGTTTTTAAATGCAGGGGGGAAATGAAGAAGAGTCTGTTGACAAGAGACTTTACTTCCATACTAGGATGGTTATATTAGCAGAATGCAGCAGGATGCAAACAGCTTCAAATAGAAGAGATGGAGATATATATTTATATATATGTATATAATGTAATTTATATATATGTATTTAATGTAAAAATGCTTATTTTATATGAGAAAGGAAGATTTGTCAAGATAACATAAAATGAACCACTCTAAGACTAGCTTCCAGCAAAACATTTTGCTTTATTGGATCTCTTTTCTAGCTACAAGTCAAGCTGACATCTGTCAAGCTTTTTAACTTTTCATATGTCAGTCTATAAGAAATGTTTCATGCAACGTCTACAATGCTAAATACAAGGTAAATAACTGGGATTAAACAGGTGAGGAATAACAGACTATTATAATGACCAATAACAGCGTATTATGTACATATAGCCATATTATATTCTCATGTCTTCACAGTAATGTGCAAATGTGACAAATATGGCTTTCATTTTTTTTCTAAAGAAAGTAAGACATAATTATACAGAGTAATGTTTTAAAACGCTTAGGAGGATTTCACCTTTTTGTGAAACCTGTTCAATCTTCATTGCATTAGGGTTAAGGAGCCACCCCAGCACGGAGGTGTAGTTCAGGTGTATTTCCAGAAGGGGGCACAGATTCCTAAGGCACAATATTAATGTTAAACATTTTTAATTTAAGTCATGCTATTTTAGTTTTGTTTTTATTTTTTTGGTTATATGAAATAATAGGTTGTTGCTAGTTATATAATAAGCGGTTGATTGTAAAAAATACAATGTTAAAGGCTACACTACATGCCTACCTGTAGCTCCAGAAACGTTAGCTAATCTGAAAACACACTATACAGCGCTGCATATTAAACCTTTATGGTTTTTTGGTAATATTCTTTTTCATACATGTAGCAGAGAGTTATAAGGCTTCTGCGGAATAATAACATTATAACTGAACAAATATTTTACACTCTTCCATAATGGTATTTACAGTTACTATAACTCATATTTTGTCATTTGGTAAATAACACGTATCTTGTATGCATCCTTCTTGCCTATCTAAAGTGCTTGCTTAACTGCATGAGGAAAGAAAATGCATACCTGCTTTAGGTGCAACAAACCCTCAAAAGAAGTAGCTGAAATATTTGTTGTGGATCTGAAATGCATTCTCAGAAATTGAAATTATTGCTAAATTCAGTGCCCTCACTAGGCAATCATCTATATTATTTGTCATATATAAATATATGCATATATACTAGTATGTATGTACATGCATACACATTCATCTATCATGTAATAGATAGATTTCAATTTTTTGTCCATCAACCTTTTTTATTTTGTGCTATTCAACTCACTTGTGCTATGACTGAAGCCAGATTAAAATAAAAATCTTAACATGCTACTACTAACAACCCTATGATTCATTAGCACATAATAAAGACAATATGCAAAAGAAAGCTGAGATGATGACAAATCAGGAGGCTTTTGAAATGCACTGAGAATAAGGCAATAGGCTGTACATTACAGCAGAGGAAAAGCTGAAGAAATTCTGGAATTCATAAACGCATCTTACTGAAGTAGTGATTGCTCTCCCTACTTCGCTGCAGAGTCCTACGCTTTTTTCCAATATCACTCTCCAGAATGCAAGCTCTATAGTTTCTGCACCTACCAACACTTTTAATGGTAGCAAATTCAAAGCTTATTAAAAATGCCCTGATGCCACAACCTGGTAAAATAAGGCACTTCCAGGGCTGTATTCCAGCGGTGCCATGCCAAAAAGATCAGCACTGGGAAGAAGCACTCAGATTTTGATGAGTTTCCTAGTTTTGTCCCATGAAATGCGCCGTCTCGGAGTGTACTCCCTCCTCTTTCTTTTGAGATGATTTTCTTTAAAGAAGCTGTTTCATCAGTTGAAGTTGAGGAGCTACTTCTTTGTAAGCAAGAGGTAAATCTTCAGTTCCTGACATTCAGTAAGGTGGAAGATCAGAGTGGTACCAGGCAACGTCTTCAGTTTATTCGGTATCTCTCTACTCGAGCGGACACGCCAGCTAAGTCAAAGGTGTGTGTGGATTTCATATTAGGCCCGTATTGAAAGCTATGAATGGACATTGGTACTGGAAAGGTCATTCCTTATAATTTCATTTACTGCAAAGAAAGAAGACAAGAGAAAAGTAATCAATTAGCATCCCACTGCTGCAGGTGGGTCTCTTCTGTACACAGCCCCCCCAGACTTGCATCCATTCCTTGACAGCTTCAGTACAGCTCTGAACAGTAAGTGTAACATCACAAGATAGCTAGTACAGGCTGATCACAGTGCAAAACAGCAGGATTAACCAAGGTTATTAACATGCTAAATACTGTGTAAAACCAGACATCACAAGAACAGCAGCATCCTGGATCCTTGATTGCATCAAACATATTTAACATTTCAAATCAGTTACAGATAAAACATTTCATTTGCTCTAGAACTGGCTTGGAAATGTAAAGCAAAGAGAACCACAGAAAATTTTAGAATAATCTACCCCTTCCATAAAAAGAGCTGTTTGGAAAGTATGTTAGCCATGGTAGGTGCTGATGGCAGAAAGCTGCCAGCCACTGAACCTGGGTACGTGCAGCTGCAATCCCTAGATAGAATACAACTTCACGTGCTGATTTTTTTCCACTGTAGGATGATAGTAAGAAAAAAAAAAAGGGAAGAAGAAGAGAAGAAACTGCTGCGTGCTTGCCCGTTCCCTGGAGCTGGTAACACATGTAAATATATACCCTCCTTTCGTGGTGACCTACACACTGGACACATGGTCTTCACTCCTACCCGCACAGACAGATGGGAGGGATGAGCAAGTTAAAACCCTTGGTGAGAGTCAGAGAAAAGAATAAACAAGGTCCGCTATCTCAGCATCAGCCAGTCAGACTGCATCTCCACTGATAAAGTGTTGTTTTCTTTATTCACGAGTCTTCTTTCATTCTTTTCCCCCTCCCCTGCAGATCATCAAGCAATACAGTTTCCCACACTCCAACTATGTCTATTTATCAGCTTGTGATTTTTGGCAGATGGACAGGAAATGACTGAACCTGGCAAAGGCCATCTACAGTGGACTACACAACATCTCTTTTATTTCCACCCCACCTCCCTGCAGCGACTGCCACCACCTGATCTACATGAAGATAGACAAAGTGCCATCAGTAGGGCTATCACCACTTCTGAGTTTCCCTAACATTGCTGGGAATGGGAAACACATGCCCACGTCATGGAAGCACCACGGAAAAGCCCGTGGCTTTCTTTCCTCATGGGCTGCTGTTCACAGCCATCCAGGTAACTTCACGTGTTTACTGGAAAAGACCAAGCCTGTCTGAAACCAACTTCCTGAAGCAATTAGTTGGTTGGGGGTTTTTTGGTTTTGTTTTGGTTTGGTTTGGTTTGGTTTTTTTCTGCAGACCTATTGCCCATTTAGTAATTGCAGCACATGAATCAGTCAGGATTTGTGTCACAGGTCCTGGCCACTGAAACCACTTCTACCAATGGATACGCACACCATACTTCAGAAAGAAAATATCAGTTGTATTTGTAACTACCTATTTATGGCAGCAAACTAAGAGCAGTATGGAAATGAGATGTGAAGACAAAGCAGTTCTTTCTCTTGAGAGTGCCGTGGAGTTGATCTTTAATACTACCAAACAGCGGAAACAAATTAAAGCAGCAAGCCCTGCTCTGTGACAAAGACTGCCCTGCATGCATCTGAACACAGCAAGAAGTGCTACCCCATTTACATGCTGCAAGACGCCGGACAGCTTTCAGGACCAAGTTTCTGCCTTGAATGCAAACACCACGCTTCTTCTGTGGGATGATTTTTCCATGATGCTTTTGTAAAGACAGTTTCTTTGATAAATTTCTCAAAGCAACTTTGGGTATGCAGCAAAAATAAACAGTGATATCTTGGTGTTGAGCATGACAATGAAAATAAATCCTCATATGGGTCAGACAGTATCACAGTTTTGCTAACTTTCCCTCAAAGTTTCTGTTACATTAAATAAAATTAAGGTATTACTCAAGGCAATCCTCAGTCTTTGTACAGGTAGTGCTTAGAAACATTAAATAACTAATCTTAACAGCACTTTTGTAAAATGTGAACATAAGTATCACCGGTGTTTCACAGATGGGGACAGAGAAGTGGAAAAGCTGAGGAGCTCCCCACCTCAGTCAGGATTAGCATTCAGGTATCTTGGATCTCAGACTAATGCTATAGCACACGCTGAGGTACTCTTGCTTGATTCATTCAGTAAAACTTTCAAAAGTAATATCCCCCAGCCCGCCAGCCCATGCTTTCCCCTATTAAAGCATTTAGTAAAAGTATTTCGGAAGCAACTTGATGACATGAGGGTGCAAGAACCAAAGGTCCATCTCCAAAATCAGCTTAGGCACTCAGAGGCTGCCCTTTCCAGCCACGCTAGGTACCCTCCGCCGAATCCTCTGTCACTCAAGTGCTGTAAGACACATGGCTTACCCTAGAGATGATGTGACTTTTCCTGTCAGCTGGGAGACCACCTGCCCTTGGCTCAGCCCATGAGACCACTGCGGTCCTTTGGTCATGCTCTCTCCAGCTCTCAGCAGCCAAACCAATCTGTCCCCAGCTGAAATCACTCATAATTTTGTTATCGACTCCAACAGGATACAGATTAGACCTTCGGCTTTATTGCTCATTCTTATTATATGTTACTTTCTTAACAGAGGTGGACTTCCACTACCTTGATGAGTAGCAGTCAAGTCTGGTGTCCTCATGTAACAACATCTGAGAGCTGTTCAACAACAGTCACTACACAATGTCAGCATGGACTCACTAACTGAACCTCAACCAAAGTGCACCCATTGCCACCAGATCTCACAATCAAACAGGGCCAAAAACGCCAAGAGGAAGTTCAACATCTCTCTCATCCATGGCGGCCCACGGACAGCACGGCTCAGACACAGATCTCTTTATTTCACTGTCGCTTGTTCCCCTTTACCCACCGCAGTGCTGAAAATGCAAAAATTCCCAATAACGCAGTGGAAAAAACCTACAGAGAGGGACAGGGGTGCAAACACAAGGCCCAGGTGGGGCAATACGTGATCCGGCAAAGCAGCCGATCTCGTAGAGGCAGACCACTAGCAGAGAGCACTAAACATGAGAGCTGAAAGGGGAAGTGTGCTGAGAGCGGGCTTTCCCGTGCTGCCCGCCGAGGCACCTGAGGCTGGAAGGAAAACCCTCCAGCAGGTGGGAACTGGGGGAAACCAGGCGGCAAGCACACGTGAAGTGCGCTGGGTGACTCTCGCTGGGTTCAGCTAGAAGGATGCTCCCCGCCACCTCCAGCTGCATGGTATAGCACTCCCATGAAGACACTCCTCTCTCCCTCCAGGTCTGAGAAACAGACGTTGAGGGAAAACTTGTTGGGGGGAAAATGCAGTTTTGGGTCAGTCAAAATTACATGAAAATATGGATTACATTCCTCAAATAGTTTCAAATGTCTTTAGCATCAACATTTTTTATTTCAAGTTTCTGGAAAATCTGCTTCTTTTAATACTCCAAAACATATTAACATTTTTGTTGCATGTTAGGAAATGTTTTATTCTTGATCTAATGGAATGTTTTGGAATGTTTTGTTTGACACAAAACTGATTTTTTTTTTCTTTTGGCAAGAAAACATCAAATATTCTTGTTGTAGGTTGACCCAAGATTGTCCTTCCCAACAGCAAATCAAAAATTCTGTTACTGACGTACGGCTCTGCTGAAGCATCCTGTTTGTCCGTCCGTACCAGTGTTGCATCTACCACAATGGCCAGTAGCCAATTCTTTGGGAAAGAGCACAGAAACCAGGCACACCCCCAGTGATGCTTTCTCAGTACACCTTTACTCTGCTGGAGGGCTTCGTGAGCAAGAGGAGGTCTGCATCCTCGTTTCTAGTGAACTTTGATGAACTTTCTTCCATGAAGTTTTCTAATAACCTTCTGAACCTGTTTTGGCCTTCCTGGTTTCCTGCAGCAACGGGTTCCACAGTTTAATGATGTGCTGGTGGAAAAAGTACTTTTTTTTGTTTTAAATTTGTTTCTTGATAATTTCATTCATGCGTCGTGTGAACGAGCTGATTGTTCCCTGTCCACCACCTCCTTTGCCATCCATCATGCTCCTTCCCCTTGGTATCCTCAGGGCTCCACTCGGTCCTGTAGGACCACTGGAGAACTCCCCAGAGAGGTAAGACATACTGCTTGTGCAGAGAAAATAATTGGCATTTTTCTCTTAGTTCCCACCTTTCTAACAAAATATTTATTATATAATTGAGGAGAGTCAGCTGGTTGCTGTCTTGAATGCTCAAGTTTTGGCTTACAAACCTGTTACTACAAGAGGATTGTGTGTGCTCCACTGAACAGCAGTATTCAGTGCAAGCAGTATTTTGGCCTGGGTTTGAGTTTCATTCCTAAAGCAAATGCTGGTCTTTGATTCCGCTGCTGCTTGGATACACATCCATTCACATCTGTAGTACCATTCCAGGAGTAGTTGTGTTTTGAATGAGCGCAACATTTTTCAAAGAAAGGTTGCAAAGGCTTTACACTCGTTTTTAAAACAACATAACCTGAATACTCTAAAAGACCAATTTTATAGACAAGGACAGATAAGACCCAAAGAATTACCTGGCTTGCTGGAGGCCCTACATACAGCTTAGCAGCAGATCTGGAATAGCATGCAAGATGTTCAATTTTCAATGCCTAGACTAGCACAACACTCCCCTTAAAGCAACAGGTTGATCCCTATCAGATCAAACAGCTGAGTACAATGATTTACAGCACCTTTGTCATCAGATTTTTTTCACTGTTTTTCTGTTGGCTTTGGGGAGGGGGGCCACTGTCGCTTTTATAGCTAACACCTACAGTTCCCCACAATGCCTTCCCTCAACTGATATTTTCCATTGTCACGTTCAGCTTTTCCACTGACAGAAAGTCAAAAAAATAATAGTGCTGAGAAATGCAGGTAACACGTGACCTCTCTACCTGTCAAGGAGTCTGAAAGAGGAACCTTTCCTTTGCTAAACAGCAGATGCCACGGTAGCAGGATGTGGTGAGCTGTTACACCACGTTTTAGTTTAATAAGGAGTTTTTTCTTCTTGTATTTAATTTT